GCAATGTCGGGGGACCTGCCGTGTTGGGGGACCTGCCATGTCCGGGGCCCTGCCATGTCTGGAGCCATGCCATGTTGGGGGCCCTGCTGTGTTGGGGGGGCTGCCATGTCCGGAGGCCTGCCGTGTCCAGGGACCTTTCGTGTCGTGGAGCCTGCTGTGTCAGGGGACCTGCTGTGTCGGGGGGCCTGCTGCGATGGCATTATCACACCCCGAGGCCTCACCCTGGGACCCCACGGTGCCATGACATCATACGGTTGCAGCACGCCCGAGTCCCAGCACGGGAGCTTTGGGGGACGACCACCGGGACCGCTGGCGGTCTGCATCTGCCCCCCTTTCCAGGTGGCCTCCTTCAACGACCCGGACTTCCTCAAGCAGCTGGAGATGGCCATAAAGTACGGGACCCCGTTCCTGTTCCACGACGTGGACGAGTACATCGACCCCGTGATCGACAACGTGCTGGAGAAGAACGTCAGGGTCTCCCAGGGACGGCAGTTCATCATCCTGGGTGACAAGGAGGTGGACTACGACTCCGGCTTCAGGCTGTACCTCAACACCAAGCTGGCCAACCCCAGCTACTCCCCGTCGGTGTTCGGGAAGGCCATGGTGATCAACTACACGGGTACGTGTGCACCGGGTCCGAGGTCGGGGCTGCCACGGGGTGTCCCTTCCCTCAGTGGCTCCAGACTGTCCTCTTGTCGCACCTTAGTGGGTCGGCTCTTTATGACAAAGCCACACCTGGGCGGCTTGGGGCCTTGGAAGGGAGCCGTGTAGGCCTGGGCGTCAGGGCGGCCTGGGCCGTGGGCTCGTGTGCCGGCTGCAGCGTGTCTGCTGGGGATTTAAACCCATCCTGACTTTGGGTTTCCTCCTCCTCTTGTTGAATTCCGGTAGGGCTTGGGTGCCGTTTCTCATTTAAAAAAATTTTCCCCACAGGATGTGTGTGCTCACCAGAGAGAGGGAGACAGAAAGGGAAAGTGAGAAATCACCCCCAGGTGTGGCTGAGCCACAGTCCCTTCGCCTCCATTCTCCTCTTAGGCTTTCGGGCAAGTGCACACTCATGCCCAGTGTGTTTTTCAAGCCACCAGGACCAGGACTCGAGCCGCACCATCGGCCGTGTGGGATCCAGAGCCTTAACCTCGACCTGCCAGCCGTTTGTTAGGGTTGCCGTGTAGCCGTTTAAATGCATTCATTAGATTTTGATGTACTAGGGTCCCTTGATATTAGCCACTTCAGAACGTTTGTGAAATGAAGGAATTAAAGTGTGAGTTTATTTTGGTACCCAAAAAGCGGAAGTGCGTGTGTCGCATCTCCCTCGGTCTCTTCGGAGACCCCCGCACATGGGAGCCTGGCTTCCGTGTCTGTGCTCCTGGCTCGTCGCCCCTCGGGCTGCAGCGTTGTCCAGAGCGGTGTGGGCCGGGAGTGGGTCCCCTGCTCCCGAGTGTGGGCTCGGACCACCCTCGG